TCAAATATATATATTTTTTCTGAATGTAGCATTTTTTAGTTTTTCTTTACTTATCGAAAAATAAATTTGTTTACACAATTATAATAATTAATCAGTAAAATATAATGAATCACAAGGGAAAATTTGGTCAAACAATTGCAACATGATTGAATGATTTACAACGCGAATAATTTATTTACGAGCATAATTATTATAATTTCTTGTTTTCGATGCACGTAAAAGATTGCTATATATAATGATAGTTAATCTCTGAAGGGAGTCAAAATGGTAATATGAATGGATTTCATTTATATTCAATGCAAGTAGATCAAGTAATGTACGGTCGGACAACTCCTCTATAAACAGCATATCTATTGTGTCGCAGTTCTTTTTCAAAAATATTTCTCCAGTTTCTTTTAGATATTAATTAAATTTTAAATATTTTAGACAATAATCTCTCTTCTTTCAAGGAGAAAAAAAATCTTTATATAATATAATTCAAATGCAAAGAAAACCTAAAAAAAAAAGGTTTTACTCTATACATTTTAAATTAATAAAAATGTTCACTAATTTCACCCAAAGTAAAATTTTATTTAAACCAAATATATAATTTATTTGAGTTAAATAAAAATATACTTGTCTCAGAGTCAACTAGGTCATTTATTTGTTTCAAATAAAAATTTTATTCGACATAAATAAAACATATATTTGAGCCAAATAAAATTTTATTTAAATTTTAAACTAAATAAAATTTATTTGAAACAACTAAAAAGTCTAGTTGGCTTTGAGTCAAATATATCTTTTTTCTGAGTGTTCAATTAGTGACTGAATTTTTGCTTTTGCTTTAGTAAATTTTACTTAAAAAAAAAAATTAGTAAAAATTACTACTGTCAATTATCAAATAAATATTGATTTGGGTAAAATAATTTTTACTTGAATCAATTAAATTCTATTTGAATCAATAATTATTTCAGTATTTGATTCAAATATACCATTTAATTTATTTAATTTAAAAATTATTTGATTCAAGACAAATGTCTGTTATCAAATAAATGTTTTCTTGAATCAAATAATTTTTAAATTAAATCGGTTAGTTTTGAAATAAATAAATTTTTTTTTCAGTGTAAAATTTACTAATTCAAAAAAGCAAAAAATCAGTTACTAATTCAAATTTAGAGAGATAGGAAAACAAATATCAAATTTTGTAAAAATATTTTACAATTTGGGGAGAAAACGCGACAAAACAAAAATTTTGATTTTATCTCTTTTAGTTCAAGAAGAACATTTAAAATTTCATATACATAGAATTTAGATACAAAAAAATCAGAAAAAAATTTGAGATATTAATTACATTTTAGATATTAATCTATTTTAAAGTTCAAAAAGAAAAAAAATATTTATAAATAGAATTTAGATACCAGAAGAAAACCGACTAATTATGCATTCTGATTAAGTTGTGAGATTCAAAAACTAGTTTGAAATTTTGTTGATTGTGAGATTACAGTTATGGTATTAATTAAAACAAGTTTCCTCAAAGTTTATTTTTTCCTTACGTCCTTTGTTTCCTTAATTCCTTTACTATATTTCTACATCTCAAAAATTCGTCTTAAATCTTCTTAACAAAAAAGAGAAAACAAATAATAAGAAAAAAAGAAGAATAAACTCAGCAAAACCATTCTCAGGTTAAAATGCTAAAAATATTTCTGAATTCAGTTCGTAAATAATGAGAGGTGAAAAACAATTTATTTTGGGAAATGTGTTGAAAAATTACTGAACTCTTGAACTTTTGACCTCACTTAGATATATTCTCTTATTTTAATTTTATTTATTTTGTTCGATCGTTCATTTTAAATACCAAAATTTGCAATAAAAAAATTAAATTAAATAAGAAAATGGAAATTTTTAAAATTGATTTTTAAATATTTTTTATTCTCTAAAACAGACAGTTTTTTTAATTTTTCAGATAAAAGTTTTTCCTCGGGAATTTAACAAATTCCAAAAAATTTTAATTACAATTTCTTAAAAATCAAATTTTTTTTAGAATTTTCGAATAAAATTTTTCATATTTCTTTAATTTTTGTTTAATAAATATTTAAATACTTATTGTTATTTACTTTTCCCAGCAGGAATTAAATATTTTCTATAATTTCAATGTAAAATCATTAGAAATTTAATTATTGCTAAAAATTAGAACTGTGGCAATTCTTTAAATCCTTGAAATATTTTCTAGAAAATTTGAACTGAAATTCTTTTTCAAATCAATTCTAATTAGAATTCAACGATAATTGAATTATTAAAATACCAAAATTTTTGTAAAATTTTATTATTTTCCAAAATTTTTACTTACAATTCTCCAAAAAATACAATATTGATGTTTAAAAATAATTTTTTAAAGTGAGGAAATAAAATTCTTTGAAATAGAAAATTTATTTTACTGGACTCTGAGAAAATTTCCTATTTTTTCAATTTTTGAAAATTATTTTCGGGAATTCAACTATTTGCAAAAAAAACTCTAATTACGATTTTTTAAAAACCTCATTTTCTCAGAATTTTGAAATAAAATTTTTCAAATTTAATTAATTTTTGTTCTATATTTAAATACAAGCAGGAATTAAAATTTAAAAATACTTTCTTTGTAAAACCTTTTGAAATTTAATTATTTCTAAAAACTAGAGCTGCAATTCTTTCAATTTTTGAAATATTTTCTGAAATTTTAACTAAAATTCTTTTTTAAATCAATTCTTATTAAAAAATTGTACGAGAATTAAATTATTTAAAATACAAAAAAAATTTTTTTTAAATTAAATATTTTCCAAATTTTTACGTACAATTCTTCAAAAAATTCCATTTCAAATAATTTTTTAAAATAAGAAAATAAAATTCTTTGAAATAGAAAATTTATTTTAATGAACTGTGAGAAAATTTACTATTTTTTCCATTTTTTAAAATTATTTTCGAGAAAAATCAACTATTTGCAAAAAAATTTTAATTTTTTTTTTTTTCAATTTTTCAGAATTTCTAAATAAATTTTTTCAAAGTTCTTTAATTTTTGTTTAATAAATATTTGAATATTTATTGTTATTTACTTGTCCACTAAGAATTAAAATTTCAAAATACTTTCAATGTAAAACCTTTTTGAAATTTAATTATTTGCAAAAATTAGAGTTTCAATTCTTGAAATATTTGACCAAAATTTAAACAAAAATTATTTTTCAAATTTTCAAAAAATTTTAATAATTTTTTACATTTTTTCAAAGTTTTTAAATTTTTGTTTAATAAATGTTTACATACTTATAGTCATTTATTTGTATTGGCGCATTTTTCTAACGATTTGAAAACAAAATCTTTGGAAAAAAATATTAAAAATTTTTTTAGTTTCACTGAAAGAAATTTTTTTTTTACTTTCATCGTCGACCACAAAGAAATCAATAAATAATAAACAGGTACAAAACAATAAGAAAAGTTAAATTGCATTTTTGTAAAAAAAAAATTATTTTCAATTTTAAAACAAAAATAATAAAAAAAATTACTTTATTTTACTTGTTTGATTTTTTTGCCGCGTATGTGTGAGTGGTATTTTTTTTATTTAAAAGCGAATTTCACACCACTGCCAGGAAAATTGTATAGAAAAATTTATTTCTATGCTTTTATCCTGACCGCAGAGACGCGCAAAGAGAGAGAAAATGCCAAACGGGATAAAGAACTCTAAAGAAACAAGGAGAAGGAATCCTGAGGAATAATTCAATAGCTTTGACACTCACCGGAATTTGCGGGCACTTCAGTATTGGCAGTTCCGTTTTGTCCAGGGCTTCTGGAGCTGGATGTTCTCCCAAGAGGCTCCATTCGAATAGCTTCACTACTCGTGGTTCTTGTTGAAGTTGGAGCAGGCATGTTGCGAATTGAAAATAACTTCCTTTAAATATTTCCTCTTTCTCAAAAAAATCTCCACAAACCGCACACAAAGATTGCAAATATTGATTCTCTTCTTTTTTCTTCTTTACACACAATAATAATAATAATAATAATAATAATAATAATAATCGAACAGCAAAAAAGCTAATATTAATTTGGCACGCGATTAAATCACTTTCGTATTTTCTTTCTTCTTTCTTTCTTTTTTCTTTTTTTCTTTCTTCTTGTTTTCAATCACTTTTTTTATTTTCTTGATTCCTTTCTTCTTTCTTACAATTTCTTTCGTATTTTCTTGATTCTTTTCTTCTATTTTCTTTTGTCTTTCTTTTTGTATTTTTTGTATTTTTCGATTCTTGTTTTCTTCTTTCTTTCTTCTTTCTCACAATCACTTTCGTATTTTCTCGATTTTTTTCTTGTTTCTTTCTTCTTTTTTACACTTTCGTATTTTCTAGATTCTTTTTTTTCTCTCTTCTTTCTTGTAAAATCACGATTTCTATATTATGATAAAGGACGTTACATTCACAACCTTATTAAAGTAATCTTTATAATACTATTTTCTTCTTTTTTATACAAAAAATGTCTTCAATTCCACTTTTTTATTTCGAATTGTATTTTTTTTTTAAAGTTAATGTTCCTTCCATTTAGAATGCAGATAGAAAATTTTTTTTATCTCAAAAATTTATTTCCTCTCTCTCTCTTCGCTATTCCACTTTTCTGTTTCGAATTCTTTTTTTCAATTTAATGCTTCTTCCATTCAGAATAGAGATAGAAAATTTGTAACATTCAATTCCTTTTTTCTTCCATTTATAGAATAGGAGGCAAAATTTTTTTTCTTTTCAAAAAATTCCTTTTTTTTCTTTCTACAATTCGATTTTCTTATTTCGAATTATTTCCATAGTATTCTTTTTTTTTAATTAATTTCTTCCGTTTAGAGTAGATAAGAAAATTCTTGTCTAAAATTGAGAATTTTTATTTAATATTATACTTTCGAGAAATTGAAAATTGGTCCCTTTTTTTTGAGGATATTTTTCTCCTTTTTTGTAAAAAAGCCACAGGTAGAAAAAAAGGACGAGAATTTTCTTAATTTCAAAAATTGCAAAAATATTAGCAAAATTTAAATTCTTCTGACTAATTAATATTATAGTTTCTCGTTAAAATTGCAATATAGAATTTTTTTTCTTTCTTCTTTCTCTGTTACAATGAGAATTTTCCTCAATATTGTGCATTGAAATTTAAAAAAGTTATATGAGCAGAAAAATTTTTTTTTCCTTTAGTATTTCAAACGTGTGCGTAAAAATGGCAATTAGTTAAGCTCCAAAAATTCTACAAGCCGTTCTCGGTTCGTTGTTGAAAATTTTTAAAGTCGATTTATTAGTTTCAATTCCTATATGTATGTATATATCTGAAACAGAAAAAAGAGTTTTAAATTTTCTTTTTTGCGTAAAAATAAAGCCAGGAGGTTAATTAATTAGTGAAGTTTGAAGTAGTTATATGCACGGGATGAGTGACAACAAGTAACCCAGTTTATCTTGGTAACTTGGAGAAATATCTGAATGCTTTATATAAAATATTCAACGAGAGAGAGAGAGAGAGAAAGAGGAGATAATAACCATTTTTATCGAGTTATTTTCGCTTAGATTCATAAACGAAATATATATGAGGAAAATATTCATTAGACTTGTTATTAAATCTTTGAAGAGTGAAAAGAAAAACACTTTATAAAAAGTATTCGCAGACAATTATTTCTGTGTCACGTCCTCTTTCTCTCTTTTGCGGTTGAATTTCTTTCTATGAAATATATTCGCTTTTCGACAAAAATACATTTGTGGAATTAAAAATAATGTTTTTCGCTGTAAAAAAAAATTCAGATTTAATTCACAGAAAGAATTTAATTACTTTTGAAAAATATTTTAATAAAAAACTACGAAACAATTCAATTATTGTGAAATATTAAAATAAAGTTCCAGACAAAAATTTCTCTTTTTTTTACAATATGTTACTTTTGAAAATTAAAAAAATCACTTATTATCGCAAAAATTTTTAAAATAATAATTTAGTTTCTCTTATAAATAATATAAATCAGAATCAGAACATTTTAAAATTCGCAAAACGTTTATAAAGAAAAATTACCAAAAAAATCTTTTTATTATTTTAAATTTTGAATTTCAAAATTAATATATTGAAAATTATTGAATTCTTGCAAAGAATTTTATCAAAAAATTTGAGTAATTGAATTTCTCCAAAACATTTTATTATTTATGAAAATAATTGAACTCTTGTAAAGAATTTTATCAAAATAATTTGTGAATAATTGAATTTCTTCAAAGAATTTTATTCTTTATAAAAATAATTGTTGAAGTCTTGTAAAGAATTTTATCAAAAAATTTGAGAATTGAATTTCTTTGAAAAATTTTATTTTTGAAAATAATTGAATTCTTGCAAACAATTTTATTAAAAAAAAATTTGAGAATAATTGAATTCTTGACAAGAATTTTATTAAAATTTTTGAAAATCCTAATTAAATTCTTTTGAAGAATTTATTTCAATCTTTTTTTTAAATACCTAATGGAGTTTTTTTTTTTAATAATTTTATTTAAAAATTTTGACAGTAATTGAATTTTATGAACAATTTCTTTCAAGTTTTTAAAATAATCGTGTTTCTTAATAATTGAAATGAAATAATTAAATTATTAAATTTTATTAAAAATTTTAGAAATTAATAAAATTCTTTTCAAAATTTTATTTATTTATTCAAATTTTAATTACAATTTTCTACAATAATTTAATTAATTTAAGGAATTTCATTAAAATAAAGAAAATAATTGATTCTTTCGAAAAATTTTATTAAAAATTTTGAAAAAATTGAATTGTTTCGAAGGATTGTATAATTTATGAAAACAATTTAATGTTTGCAAAGAATTTTATCAAAAAATTTGAGAATAATTAAATTTCTCCGAAGAATTTAATTATTTATGATAATAATTGAATTCTTGACAAAAAGGTTCTTAAAATTTTTGAAAATCCTAATTAAAATTCTTTTGAAGAATTTCTTTCACTTTTTTTTAAATAATGGAGTTCTTTAATAATTTTCATTAAAAGTTTTGAATTTAATTGAATTTACTGAACAGTTTATTGAATTGAATTTATTTAATTGGATTTTATTTATTATATTGAATTTTTTATTGAATTTAATAATTTTTTTTTTAAGTTTTGAATTTAATTGAATTTACTGAACAGTTTCTTGAATTGAATTTACTGAATTGAATCGAATTGAATTTATGTAAATTGTACTTTATTTATTGAATTGAATTTTTTATTGAATTTAATAATTTTTATTTAAATTGAATTTAATTTTTGAATTGAATTTACTGAACAGTTTCTTTTAAGTTTTTAAAATAATCGTGGTTCTAAATAATTAAAATTAAATAATTAAACTATTCAATTTTACTAAAATTTTTAGAAAATAATTAAATTCTTCTCAGAATTTTATTTATTTATTCAAATTCGAATTACAATTTTTTAAAATAATTTTATTTATTTTTAGAAATTTTATTTAAATATAGAAAATAATTGAATTCTTTCGAAAAATTTTATTAAAAATTTTGAAAAAATTGAATTGTTTCGAAGGATTTTATAAAATTTTAGAAAATAATTGAATTCTTTTGAATTAAATAAAAATTTTATAACGAGACTTAAGAGAAAAAAATTATATTGTTTCGTAAAATTTTATTGAAAATAATTGTATTTTTCAAAGATTTTACTACTTAAAAAAATAATTGAATTTTAAAAAATTTATTAAAATTTTTAAAAAATAATTGAATTCTTTTCGTGAAATTTTATTAAAAATTTTAAATAAATTTAATTCTTTCATAAAATATTTTTAAAATTGTATTAAAAATAATTGAATTTTGAAAAATTTATTAATATTTTTAAAAATAATTGAATTCTTTCGTGAAATTTTATTAAAAATTGTAAATAAATTTAATTCTTTCATGAAATATTTTTAAAATTCTATTAAAAATAATTGAATTTTTCCAAGAATTTTACTATTTATAAGAATAATTAAAATGTTTCGAAGGATTTTTAAAAATTTCAGAAAATAATTCAATTCTTTCGTGAAATTTTATTAAAAGTTTTTAAAAAATTGAATTTTGGCAAAAAATTTTACAATTTTATAAAAAAAAATTGATTTCTTTCAAAAAATGTTATTATTTATGAAAATCATTGAAATCTTGCGAAGAATTATATTAAAATTTTTGAAAATACAAACAATAATAATTGATTATGTACTTAAGTGATTTTTTAAAATTTTGATTATGAAATTATTGAAAGATTTGTATTTGAAAATAAAATATTTTATAATTTGCATAATAATAGTAATTTAACATTTTGTTCCGCGCGAAATATATTTGCTAATAAAGATTAAAGGCTGCGACAAATAAATAAATATTGATTAATTAATTTATAATTCCAACAAAAAAAAATTCTAAAATCAATAAATTTTAAAATTAGTAATTTTCACCTACATATTTAAATAACAACAAAAAAAATAGTAGCATAAATGGTAAAATAAAAAAATAGATATTTTTTTTCCCAAATAAAATTTGTGCAGAAACAACTTTTTTCTTTTTCGCATTTCTAACCTTTTATTTGAACTCTCTAAGTGTATTGGATAGGACATCTGAGTTATATTGCTATCGCTTTGAAAGTAAGGGGATGATTCTGCAAATGTCTACAACTTACGAGGATATTGACGTATTTTAAAATTTCGAAACACATTTCTCAAGAAGATAGTTTTTTTCAATTTATTTATTTCACATTCAAAGAAAATATTCTCTATAAATAATTTTTTTTCTTTAAATTATAACTTTTGAATTTTATTTCAATTCGACAATTTTTAACCGCATCTTTCGATTATAATTTTTACTGTTAATTTTTTTCTAATTTCATTAGAAATAATAAATGATAATCACTAAAAAAGAATTTTTTTTAGTAAATTACATTTTTTTCGGCGTTAAAATGCCTAACAGATGAATTACTAACTTTAAAATAATAAATACTGTAGTTAAATAATAGTAATACGGAAGTTTAGTGCTATTGCCTATTAACACATTCTCGTGAACTTTACTATATATCAAAGTTTAGTAATGATAGGAAAAGCTTATTACAAGCTTTCATCAACTTTGGTCTCGAAGGTTATTAACCCCATTTCTAACACGAAACAAGTTTTAACTTTTTAATTAAATTTTCACATCAAATTTTATCTTAAATTTTCCGTGAAAATCACTGATTTTCTGATTAATTCTTATAGCGAAAATATTTTCTTCAGGGTTGTCACAAAAAGTTAATTTTGTTTTTCCTCACTTTTCCCTGATTTTCAGACAGAATTTTGACTCTAATTTCTGATTCACTCGTAAAATGAGAATTATTTATTGAAAGTATGAAAAATTCAGATTTTCAAAGATTTTAATTTAAAACTTTACAAAATTCAATTATTTTAAAAAATTGCAATTAATTAGTAATTTCTCCATCAGAATTCAATTATTATCGTACAACTTTAACTGAAATTAACTTTTAAATCAATTTTTTATTAGAAATTTCTATGAGAATTCAATTATTTAAATAGGAAAATAAATAATTTATTGAATAATTGAATGTTGCTTAAAAATTGAATTCTCATAAAGAATTTTAATAAAAAACCTTTAATTAATTAAATTCCTTTGACTATAATGTTAATAAAATTTTTAAGAATAATTAGTTTCTCGAGGAATTTGATTAAAATTTTATTACAAATAATTGAAATTCTGCCATAAGTATGAAAATAATTTCATTATTGCGAAGAATATTTTATAAGAAAGTTTCAAACAATTGATTTTTTTCGAAAATAATTTATGCAAATTCTATTCTTAATAATTAAATTTCTATGAAATTCCCATTATTTTAGAAAATAATTGAATATTCGTTTAGAACTTTGTCAAATTTCTTTTTAAATAATTGAATTCTTTCAGAAAATTTTATTAAAATAATAGAGATATAAATTATTGAATTAATAAAAATTTTTCAAAATAATTGAATTTTATTAGTTTTGAAAATAATTGAATTCTTGCGATAAATATTGTTTATTTATGAAAATAACTAAATCCTCCGAATGATTTTATTATTTATAAAAATGATTAAATTTCTCAAAATAATTTTAAAATTTATGAAAATAATTGAATTACTGCGAAGAATTTAATGACAAAAAATTTGATTTTTTTCGAATAAATTTTTGCAAATTCTATTTTAAATAATTGAATTCCTGTGAAATTTTTATTTTTTTTGGAAAATAATTGAATGTTCGTGTAGAATATTATCAAAATTTTTGTTTAATAATTGCATTTTTTTTTTGGGAAATTTTATTAA